GCTAATTAGACTCCAAATCATGTTATCTGTACTTCGTGTGAGTGTTGTACCGAGAAGTTTAGAATGGGCGCGTATTCAGAACCTGGTCATCTGACCACTTCTGAGGAACTGTGGGCCCTATACCAGAACACCCAGTCCTTTCAGTTGTGTTCGAACACCTCTCTTACCTCACATGAAGAAGCAGTTCCTTTATTCCGTCTCAAACACCGTGATGAAAAATCTACCAGTGCTTTGCTGGTGGGGCTTATATTGTACTTAGAGAATAATGATAAGAGAAACGAGAGAGCGTCGCGAACGCAGATCTTTTCTCCAAGCTTATCTCTTTCACCGCGTTATGTTTATTTCCAGAAAGAACACATACAGGTCTAATTCATATTGATCTTTGAATGAATGCAATAACAGACAACTTGCTAGATCCACAATCGAGGTACATTAAATACATTCTCACACTTCAAATATGTAAACTCATGTGAGAACCAACCGAAGAGATTAGATGTGACTACTTTATAATATAATAGGGAAAATGCCTTACTATTGACATGAGAAAAAGTATGAGAATTATGATTAAGAAAACTGACCGCAATGGTTTCCAACACTTTGAGAGCCCACTGATTGTCGTGAATTACTTCGAGTGCATATTACTGACAAATCCGAGATCTGCATGTTATATACTTTTCTGAAAATTACTATACTCACTGTGTCCATAAGGAGATACCTGAACTGCTCAGGTTTTTCTCTGCAAAGTAAACAAATGGGTTTTGGTTACAAAGCGCAGCTGCCAAACCTCTAATCGTTCTATCAGGACATAGTCACTGTGCACTCGAATCTCTTGAAGATCATCAGGCGAGATTGTCCTGTATTTGTTCAGTTACCTTCATAACATAACTGACATGTTACGCTATGAAACACATCTTTAATCTGAACCACTCCGAGTCATCATGTCAAATGACGTTAGCAGTAATGTACTCCCCTATTCGCCACCAAGCAACTCACATAGATGCTAACATTCATGAACAAGTAATCAAATACACCAGGAGTATGTATTATCATACTTCGAAACCTGAATTTAAGAAATAAACATAAGCTTTTAATTGATATTGCCTTTGCCACCATGTACTCGGGCTTCGGTGAGATGACAAAAAGATAAGACCCACAAAGAAAAATCGCTGATCTTGGCATTCAGCTGTTTGCCCATATTTCGTGTGACATAATTGGTAATTTATTCTTGCCTTGCAGAAGTTGAATTTGCATTAAATCACCAAGCGAATAAAACTGTCTTACACTACAGAGCTTTTCTCTGGCTTTGAGTCTGATGCTGTCCTTAAAGTTTTACACCACTGGTGTCATGTGGTGGATGTCTGATCTAATACCGCAAGCTACCGTAACGAGCAGTCACGTAGCTCTACTGTTAATATACTCACAGCCTGTGGTTCATGAAGCTATTCAGAGGAAATGCTGCCACACTGTGGTCAAACATGAAACTGCCACCTTTATTTTACTCAAAGGTCCTTCTGCCATATACGAATTGCGCACACGCTACAAAATAAGCCTTTTGTGATCAGTATGATCATAGAACTCAGAATTGATAAACAGTACACCAAATGCTTATGATCAGCTCTTGATGTTAAATCCAACAACATTTGATCTGATTTCTCAAAAAGAAAAACTATCTATACAAAACACATTTTGTGATCACAATCTTAAGTTTTGCTTCGCTTCCTGCTTCTTCTAGTGGATTTGTGCGTTCAGTTCTTTCTTCTAAAGTGAAACACAAAATCAATTCTAATTATTGACAGAGTGTTTCATCTATCTGTAGCTCAATCTAAAAACGAACGACGCCCGAAAGTACAGGACTAATGAAGCTAACTAACAGGCGATTTATAGCTTACATATAGATAATACCAATTATGCTGTAAACAGCAAATTTATTTATTTATATATATATAT